CTGAGCCTGCACCCTCTCCCTGCCCCTGGCCCATGAGCTCTGCTCTCAGTCAATGCTGGCCATGGGGGAGGGGAAGCTAGGCTCTGTGCTCCACTCTGCCACAACAGCCACCACCTCCCATGGGCAGCAGCTGGGGCTCAGGCGCTGCTGCAGGTGGCAGGGTGCTGTGGACCTGGGTCCCTGACCCCATAGCCCTGGCAGCTGGGGTTCCCTTTCAACAGGACTTGGGAGCACAGGGGCCTGTGGGTGGCGAGTGAGGGGCACAAGCAGGGGTGGGGGGGCCTGTGGGTGGTGAGGGATTTGGGGGGTTTTAATCAGAATTTGGGGGGTTTTAATCAGAATTTGCGGTTTTTAAACAGAGAAAACCAAGATCCCTGGTGATGAGAGGCAGGTGGAGGTAACTGCTTCTGTAGTATTTATGTTCATGACCACTACTCTTAGTTGTACAGTCTTCTTCACCCAAAATTTTTTTATTGAGATATCCACTGGAAAGTGGATGGGGAAATTATGATTGCTTTTTGGAAAAAAATATATAGCAGTTATAGTATAGAAATAATATGCTGAAGAAGCACATAGACTTCCTTACTAGGACTAAACTTGTTTCCTTTTCTGAAAGGAGATGGATAGGGGACAGGGGAACATAAGATACTTATCTTTGTTTATATGAAGGACATTCTACTGTTCTGAATATACTGAATTCAGATGAAACAAGTTCAGCTTTATTAGAGTACATGCATGGCAGAATGTGTGATGGCATTCCTTTTACCAGTGCATGAAGAGCCTGGGATCATGATCTCGGGCTCCACCTGCACCGGCAAGTTGAAAGACAGGTGCCCGTTTTAATCAAGTGATTGTCAGCTGGCTCCAGGACTGTACTAGGGCATGAACTGCCCCCAGTACAGTCCCAGGAGCTGGCCAGGGACCTGATCCTGGGCTTGCCCTGCACCAGCAAGCTGAAAGCCAGGTTCCCAACAATCCGCTGATTTATCAGCTGGCTCTGGGAGTGCATACTAGGGCTTGAACTGGCCTTACTATGGTCTCTGGAGCCAGCCTACGATCAGCTGGTGCAGTCCAAGAACCAGCTGATTGGCAGGGACCACACCAGGCTGGCTAGAGACCCCAGTGTAGTCGTAACCTTGGCACACACTGAATTCAAGGCATGAGGGAAACCAGCCACAAAAATATATCTCACATCTTTTTGTATAATATTGTTGTGACTGGTTTCCCTTTTTGTGGTGCCATTAGTTACCTGAATGTGTGGTCTGGTTACTATTTAAGATGCAATTAACAGACTGATTGCATCTTAAGTGTAACATCTGCCAAGGGCCTTAATGCATAACAGCTGAGGGTATGCATTTAATGCCAACTTGCATTTTCTGACTGGGGGGGGGCCCTCTACACATGCAGGTAAAGGTGTTATGGGATCTAATGTGTGATCTGCACAAACATGCCTCCTGCCTTGCCACACATGCATGGTAGGAGGCACAATTGTGTGCATTGCGTATTGTATCCCATTGTGCATTATTACTGGTACAAAAGGAAGCCCAATCCTGGGCCCCCCCTTGCACTGGCAAGAAGCAAGGTCCCCCAGCTGGGAGCCTGGGTCAGCTGATGGGGCTCCCAGCCATGGGGGTGCCCCACACACTCCCATGGCTGGGAGCCCCATCAGCTGACTCAGGCTCCCAGTGTCAGGGGCATCCAAGGGACAAAGGCAGTTGCAGTCTGCAGGTGGGGGGGTCTTTGCACCCTGTGACTAGGAAAACATAGCTGCTGCAGTCTTCCAGCTGCCTGGGGGGCTTCAAGCAACTTCACTCTCCCAGGCATGGGGGGCCTGTGGGTCCCATGGTGCCTGGGTGCTCTGTCAGCTGGGAGCTCCCAGCCTTGGGGGTGTACATGGTTCCCCCAGCTGGGTGCTCTGATCAGCTGATAGGGCTCCCAGCCACAGGGGTCCCTGGCCACATGTTCAATTAATGGTGTGATAGGAAGCAGCTATAAAGCTGTTTTTATTTTTAAAATCAAGTTTTTTCATGCTTTGAATGTTCCCTTTTAAAAGACATTCTCTAGTTTAAAATTGAAATTTGACTTGAAACGTCAAACTAATAGAAATGCAAATGCCACAGCAATGAATCAGAAGTAAAACCACCTCTGAAAATGAAACTGCTTCAGTGAGTTTCAGGGGTTTTAGTTATCCAAGCTGAGAAAATAAAGGTTCTGCAATCTAAAGTTTATTTACTCTTCATGAAGATACTTTAATAACAGGCTAGGGAAATTTTGCTTTACATTTTTTTTACATCTTGCTGAAAGCATTTAAAACCAGAACTGGCAACCTCAGTAATGCCAACTCTCATCAAAAAAATTACAAAAGACTTCTGATTTCCAAGTCAAATTAACTCTGACTCAAGATCTCCTGATAGAGAGCTCAAATCTCAGGACTTTTTTCTTCTGGCGCATGTAGAAAGTGCCAAGCTGGTAAGTCTGTGGAGGGGAAGGGAAGGGACCGGGGGGGAGGGGGGGGTGTTGCAGCTCAAGGCCCCCACGGTGAGGGAGGGAGTGGGGTAGGGGCTGGGGTGAATGGGGCGCTGTGGTGAGTCATGCAACAGAACTGTGAGCGTGTGTGTGTCTGCTGCTGCCCCTCACTCCAGACTCACAGTATCCCGCATCCTGCCTTTCCCTGGGCTCCAAACCCCTCCACACACACTCACTGCCCCCCACACCTTCACAAATAACACCCCTCCTCCCCCACACACACACTTCAAAAGTAGCATCTCATGATTTCCATTCCAAATCTCTTGATTTTTTTTTTTTTTTTTTTAAGTTTGTCTCATGATTTTTGACACAGTGGGGTTGGCAGTTCTGTAACTTACGGCCTACAAACTGGATCTGGCTTAGAGAGCCATTGGATTCAGTTTATGGTACCGGGGTACTTTGGGAGCTTTCTGGCAGTGGGTTTTTTTTGTGGCAGGGAGCTTTGCCTGCACTGCAGCTGGGTGTCAGGGAGAGATGGTAGCAGCAGCTGGGGTGGAAACATCTGCTTTGAGTCTGAGGTGGGTTTCAGCCTCCTGCTAGGAAGTGCTGCCAACCGTTGCCCTGACAGGTCAAGACGAGTCCAAGAGGCTGCAGCCTTGAAAATAAGTGTTCGCTGAGTGAAAAATGATTTATAAAGTTCCCAGAGTTTCTGTGCTCTTTCTCTAGTGTTTAGGGCCCATGTAAAGGCTGAACAGCCTAGAATTTCCTCTTAACTAATGGACCCAGTTCTTTAATTCATGCAGCAGAAGATCATCCTTTTCAGATCTACCAATCATGGGTCTGATCCCGATTATCTGTGCGTGGGCGACTGGTGCCTCCCGAGTCGGTGAGGGGGGGCACCAGATTGCCGACCTGTGGTGGGGGGTCCCCCCAGCGGCCAATTTCCAAGCCAGCAGCAGAACCGGAAGTGCACTTCCAGGGGGTGCACATGCACCCGCGTGCACCCCCTACGCATCGCCAATGTCTACAGTGGTGGCATTATGTTGTCATTGGAATACTTATGCTTGTTGGTAAGATGTTAGACTAAACTCTCACACCTGTTAATTTTCTAAAGATTTGCCCCCTCCCCTTCCCTGAACAAACAAGAAAAGTTAATTCAGCCTAAAGTTCCATTCTTCCCTTGGAAAGTCTTGCTTTCTTATGAATTAGTTGGAAAAAGCTGAAATTAGTATAAATGAATGGTGCAGTTTAAAACAGCCCCAGAAAAAGTAAAAGTCTAGCTTACGTGTCATGTCAGACACACAGATAATGTGCACATACATGCATGCAGAGTGCAGCATGTAAAATTCATTCCGTTTATAGTCAGACCCTGTATTTTAAGAGGGGGCCCAGTACATTTGCCATTGGTTTTTTTTATACCCCCCACAACTGAAAAAAATAAACCTTTAGTCCAAACAATTTATGGGCTGCTTGTTTGGCATATATCTGAGATGCAGCTGTTTCAGACTTTTTTATGTACTAGTAAGCACTTTCAGAGTTGCCAAGCCCTTGGTGTAGTTTTGTGTGTTCCTGTAAAACAAAATCCAGCTGGTCTGATTTTAGGCTTGCTAGCTTTGAGAGCGCCTTTCTGAATACTTTTGTTTTAGACATAGCTTGAATAGTGTGGACCTTTCTGAGGAAAAGGGTTTTTTTTTTTTTTTATATAAAAGAAGCTCCTTGTTTGTTTCCTTTATCATCTGATATCCTAGATGCTCTGGCAAATGAGTGATAAAACATTCTGCTTTTTATTATTTCAGCCATTAATTAGAAAAGCCTTTGCAAATGTGTTCTTAAGTAAACCTGAAATTGATGCAAGATTTATTATTTCCTTTAAATGTTTTTCTAAGGCAGGGGTTTTCAACCTTTCTTGGATCAGTGTCCCCCCAGCAACCGGATGCACAGCAGTATACCCCTTTTGGCCAGATGCTTGGGGCAAGATGGTGGCACATGGTCGAACGCGGGGGGGGTGTAGAGGGGGTGGGCAGTGCACAGCAGAACACAGAGCAGTGACTACCACCGCATGTGAGCTTCCCCTGCATTCAGTGGGATGGTGGCACTCTGTCCCTGCCCACACATACCCCCTAGGGCTTTCTCAAGCACCCCCAGGGGTACACGTACCCCCAGTTGACAACCCCTGTTTTAAGGTATAAATGGCTTAACCAATATGGTATACAGTATCATTGTGAAGCAATATGATACAACAGACTATCTAGCTAAATGTTGCATTACACATATGCAAACATACTACATATTCTTCGGCATTTTTTTGTTTGGATTAAACAAAACATCAATGGTTAAGAATAAAATGGATAAAGTGAAATGTCAAGAGTTCTAGAGGTTGGAGCAGATTCATACATTTGTGTTGTAGAAAGTTGTGAGGAGGGGAATAAAGAAGAAAACACATGACACTAATCATTCTGATATGACTTTGTACATATACATGCATGCACGCATACATCTACACTGTCATATATGTACCTGTCATCTCTTTACAGGTTCCTGAACAGCAGCCAATTACTTTGTGCAGTGGAGCTGAAGACACCAAACATTATGAGGAAGGCAAGAAGTGTGTAGAAGAGCTAGCGTTGTACCTCAAACCACTCAGCAGTGCAAGAGGCAAGTCCTTTACTCCCATTTCCTTTTGAAACTGAGAAATGGGACCAGATAAAGGCTCATCTCAATGGCTTTTTTTTATAGCAAAACAAAACTAAAACTATTACAGTAGAGCCTTCCTGAAAAATAGATCTAGATCTAATAAAGAAATACGTGTTCTGAGTTTTTGGGCTACGTCTTCACTGCAATAGAAGTAGTGTGTGTGTGTTTAATTTTATATAGAGAAAACTATTCTAATGTAAAATCATATTGAGGGAAGGCAAAGATATAGTTTTGACCTTTGCCATAGTTAGTTGAAGTAAATTCAGAGCAGAAAATTTATGGTCAACATTATTACTAGCTGCATCAAAACAGAACTTTATGCTTTTTCTAATCTCTGAAGAGTTTATGTTAAGATGACTGCCTTAGTGTAAAATGTTACCTTTTTTTGCATAAATCATGAAAGTGAAATTCTTTGAAAGTGAAAATCTTATATGTCTTGCGGTCAGACTTATCCTTGTTTCCTGCATGGAGGAACAGGAAGTCAAAACCTGTTCATACCTTTTTATAAGTGTTGGATCCAGCTGAATCAGGGGTGGGCAAAATGCGGCCCAGGGGCCAGATGCGGCCTGCCAGGCCATTCTATCTGGCCCACAGGGCCCCTAAAAAAAATTTAGAAAATTAGTATTTATCTGCCCCTGGCTGCCTATCATGCAGCCCTCAATGGCTTGCCAAAACTCAGTAAGCGGCCCTCTGCCCAAAATAAATGTGTGCCCCTGATCTGAATAGTTCTGTTTGAGAATGTAGTAATAACTATTATTACACATAAAGTAACTTCATTACTTTATGTAAAGATCTATCTGGTAGGTTATGAGAGGTGAAGTCCAGGGGAACAGCTTTTGGGAAGCGGGGAGTGGATAAGAGGATTTCCACTAGAGTGTGCTTTTAGACCCACTTGTGGTTTCTAACTTTCATCTTGGCCAATAGTTAACTGGTTTCCAATTACATTTTCAGCTTTGCCCCATGCACCTCCCGAGTGTCCTGTCTGCTTGGAATAATGGAAAAGCAGAGGGATGAAGCCTCCTCTTTCCTTTCCTGAGTGTCCTAATTTCTGGAGGATATAGCTAGCCATCATTTCTACATCCCCACCCCAGTTTCCTGGCTCTTATAAAAGAAGTCTGGATGATACTTTCTACTTTTCCCCTACTCCCAGCAAACAGTATTTTTACATGCTGCTGGTCTGTGAATATATCTTGAGATTAGAAAAGCTGAACAGAGAGAGATTGCAATCGGTTGAAGTTTGATATTGCAATGGTTTCAAATAGAAGCAGTGAAGTTGACTAGAATCTTGTTCGTTTCAAGCAGCTGGTGCACTTTGACAAAGCCGTGAGCAGCAGAAATACTAGACCTGTCTGTCTAGTGCAGGGCCTGTCAACCTTTATAAGCTGCAGGCTGGAACCAACCCGGCTCCAGTCAAGCGTGTGTTGAGTGACTTCGGTGGTGTGTCAGCAGTGAGGGGGGATTTCGTGGGGCCAGGGAACTGGGAGCTGTGCTTGCACTGCCTCCATTTCTCCTAGCTCCTCACTTCCTGGCTGGGGTGCAGGTACAGCTTCCATCTGGTGGGGAACTGAGCCAGGGCTGGGCACCTGGAAGCTGTCTGCACTGCTGCCAGTTCTCTCCCATTTCCTGGCTGTAGTGCAGGTTCAGCTAGAAGCTGCCCAGCCTTGACTCGGCACCCTTCTGGCTGGAAGCTTTGTCTGCACTGTAGCTGGGGAGTAGAGTCAGGGAGAAGGAGCAGCAATGTGGGAGCAACTTCCAGCTGCCTAGCCCCAGTGCAGCTCCTTGCTGCCCACCCCCAGCAGGGGTGTCGGCATAGGCAAAGCCTTCCAGCCTCCATAGGCTGGATTCAGCCCAGTGGCCATGTGTTGTTGACTCGTGGTCTAGTGAGTAGATCTGAGGGGGGTGGTGGTTTGTTTGTGGTTTTTACTCTTTTCCTTAAGCAGTGCCTAAAATGAACCCACTGGAGTTGTTTTTTTTTTTTTTTATAAACTTTGGATGGAAAATTTAGCATAATTAAATTCTGTGCTTCATTTTGAATTGGGAATTTAGGCACCTTTTATAGTCTTGTAGAAGTAGAAATATAACTCCTTTCCTCACTTCTCCTCCCTTTTGTTGTGAAGGTGTAGGTCTGAACAGTACCACTCAAAGTGTATTGAGTCGTCCCATGCAAAGGAAACTTGTGACATTAGTCCACTGCCAACTAGTAGAAGAAGAAGGGCGGATCAGAGCCATGCGTGCAGCAAGGTCACTGGGTGAAAGAACAGTCACAGAGCTTATCCTTCAACATCAGAATCCTCAGCAACTCTCTTCCAATCTCTGGGCTGCAGTGAGGGCTAGGGGCTGCCAGTTTCTTGGGCCAGGTACGTACAAACCAATTCACTAATCCCACTGTTGTTACAATACAGGGATTGAAAAAAAAAAAAAAAAAAAAGAGGCACATCACTTATCTAGATGCTGCAGGCAACTGAACTCCTCAGGCTAATTTACTAAGCAGCAACATCATTCTTATGAGGTTTTACCAATAGGTTTTCTCACTTAATGATAGGTCTGTTGAGTTGTTTTAATGATAGTACTTGACAGACCTATCTGTTCAGTAGGGGTGTGCAAAGCGGGCCCTATTCGATTCAGATTCGGCCCAAATCAGGGACAGTGATTCAATTAATTGATTCAGATCGCTGTCCCTGATTTGATTTGGCTGAATTGAAATGTGAGGATTCAATGCTGATGCAGAGAATCAGCAATTTGGACGTAGACACAGCTTTAAATGTTTTTTCTACATACCTCGAGGTACCAGCGCAGCTTGTGAACACTGTGATGCTGAGGCAGATGGAGCATCTCACAGGAGTGCAGAGGGGCCCCCCCACGTGCTCGGCGGCGAACCTGGAAGTGGGCCAGAAGTGCTTCCGGTCTACTTCCAGGTCCGGTGGGGTGGGGTCACGTCACCTCGGCTTGGCAATTGGCCGTGGGAGGACCCTGGTTGGCTCCCCCAGACCCAGGAGGCACTAATTGCTGAGCCACAGGAGGGTGCGGGGGGGCCCCCAGCGCGCTGTCCAGTGGACCCAGAAGTGGACCAGAAGTGCTTCTGATCCATTTTCAGATCTGCTACCAAGCATGCTAGGGAGCCCCCTGTGCTTCTGTGGGATGCTGCATCTGCCCCAACATCGCAACATTCACAAGCCACCTGGTACCTAGAGGTATGTAGAAAAAATATTTAAAGCTGTCTATGTCCAAATTGCCGAATCTTTCCGCATCTCTCTGAATTGATTCGGAGGGTTCTGATTCGATTCGGAGATTCAGCCATCGATTTTAAGTCCAAAAATATCCTTAAAAACCTCCTGTGTTTTATTGTCATGAAGAGATGAAGTTGAGTGTAGTTTGTGGAGTGAAAGGACAGAGTGCTACCAGTCAGTGGCTATGACTTTTCCAGTTCTGACATTGACTATGCATGTGTTCAATCAGGTTTCATAAAACTGATTTCTCATGTGTGTGTTATATGTAAATATTTCTATTTAAATATTTTTTCTCTAATAAAATATGTCTATTTTAACTTTTGAAACGTGATGTGGTTATGTTAAGGCATACCGTAATTACAGTTATTAAATGCATTTTCATTAAATATTACAAGCAATACAAGTGTTCTGACAAAATTTAAACAAAGTCAATCCACTGAACTGGTAGAACCAGGCTAAGCATCTGGAACAGTTTGTTGAAATGCTAAACCAGCTTTTGGTAACAACCTCTTTCCACCAGTATCCTTATACAACTTCTTGTTCTACTGCCTGGAACAGAGATGCTCAGTGATTTAGAGTGCATCTGGTGTGCTCTAGCTTCTCTTTTATGCCTACTAAAAATATAACACCTTTTCTTATAGTACCTGTTTTCTTTGAAGGTATATGCTCTATTCCCTCTTCGTGTTAGGGTATCTTGGTAGAGGAGAAGGGGTTACTGGTTCCTGTCCCTACCTTAACTTGTTCTCCCTCTCTCCATTAATACCAGAGTGTTTTGGAATAGTTTTTTACATTCCCTGACACCTTCTGAGAGATCTGTAATGATTTTCTCTATTCCACAGGACACAGCATTGGACTGGCTTTTGCATCTGTTTCTGGGAAAACCATGGTAGAAGTGCAAGATTGCCCTTAGTCTTGCTCACTTATCTATTTTTTTTGTTTTGTTTTCTGTGCTGTATTTTCTAGCAATGCAAGAAGAAGCCCTGAAGTTGGTCCTTCTGGCTCTGGAAGATGGATCTGCTTTGTCGCGAAAGGTCTTGGTTCTTTTTGTGGTACAGCGACTGGAGCCACGATTTCCTCAAGCTTCTAAAACCAGCATTGGGCATGTTGTCCAGCTCCTTTATAGAGCCTCCTGCTTCAAGGTATAAAGTAGACCCTGCTTGGTGCAGGAAACTTTTACCTGTTATATTACAGAAAATATTACATTGGAACTACAAACCAAAGTCTTGTAAAAATAAGAACTTTTATTTCTTTGCACTTTTGCATTCGGTTGTCTAGTTCATAATAAGCATTATAGGCACTTGTATTCATAGGAAGCATTTCTACTTTTGTCAGATCCCAAATGTTCAGTTTTTTGGTTTCACTGAGGGAGGGGGGGACTTAGGCTGAAGTTTGGTTTCAAGTGATGCGTAAAATGTGAATTTGGTCTCCATCTGGGTTCTAAAGCAGGGGGTCAGGAACATTTTCGGTCAGAGTGCCAAAAACACCTGCAACCTTGACTACGAATGTTGGCATGCCAGGGGCAGATGGTGGGGGAGCTACAAGGGGGCCAGTTCTTATTGTGGCAGCGCAGCCCCAGTCCCTTCCCCATTGTCTGCCCTGAGGCGCATGTGCCAAGCAAATGCCTTCACATGCCACGCCTTAGCCCTGGTGCTGGGGGTTGCCCTCCTGTTCTAAAGTATGCACAGTATCAATAACACAATACAAGTTTAGCATAATTTTTTGCCTAGCAAGGATTGGTGCTTGAAGAATCCCAGTGTATCTATTGACTGAACAGTATGGCAGTTAAGATTTGAAATAGCTTGGGTGTTATATGTTGAGAATAAGGTGCAAGAAGCCTATGCTATTGTTGACTCCAGCCAGTATTTATAGTGTTGATTCCCTTCTCACAGTAACATAATTAGGGGTGGGAGACTGGGGCATCAGCCACGGCACCAATTTTGAGCAGACACAAGAATGGTGGCTGCAGCCTCTGCTGGCCCAGCCACTGTCAGTCTAGCCACTGAGGCCAATTCAGCATGTGAGCAATTCAGTATATGAGTATGTAGGTAAGCAATTCAGTATTTGAGTATAGGTAAGTTTGTATAAGGGCATAATGCATACACATAGTATTATGACAGCAGTTAATACCTTTTCAGAAGGAAGAAATATAATTTGGTAATTAACCTGAAAATCCACTTGCCATTGGCTTGGCTCTGCCATTCAGTTTAACTGTGTTCGTTATGGTGGGCTGATTTTCTTTCCATCAGGTTACCAAACGTGATGAGGACTCCTCCCTGATGCAGTTGAAGGAGGAGTTCCGAACCTATGAGGCTTTGCGGAGAGAACATGATTCTCAGATTGTGCAGATTGCCATGGAGGCAGGTTTACGGATTGCACCAGATCAGTGGTCCTCACTGCTGTATGGAGACCAGTCCCACAAATCCCACATGCAGTCCATCATTGACAAGGTAAAGCAAATTCAGATCAACCCTGCTCTTGTCTACAGGTCTCAGTAACTTAACATCAGCAGTGTACTGATATATTTGATGGACAGATGATGAAACTTAATCAATTTGTGCTATATTCTGTCTTATGTTAACTTAAGAGTTGTTAAAATTGGCATAGGTACATCATAACCAGTTTAACTTTGGTCTGTATGTCTGTGACTTGTACGTTTTCCTGTCGTTCTGTTCTTTCCTACTGCTTTCACCAAATGGAGAAACCATCTCACAGTGCAGCAGAGCATTGATATCTAGCTGGTGTGATGGAACTTTGCTTTCTGAACAGCAAGCTTAAAAAAAAAAAAAAAAATGGAACCAATTTTAATGATTTTGACACTGAAATTGCAGGGTTATTGCTGTTACCTTTGTTGTCCATGTTCCATCTTCCTTTCTTTTGTCTGTGCAGTATTACTTTTGTTTAAATTATGTTGCCAGTCTCTTGGTCCAGGAGCTGTGATTACCATTTGATGTTTCTGCATGCTAGTTGAATACAGATGCTTATAAATATCCATGCCCTATTATTAAGGAGAAGCACAAGCAGAGGGTTAATGTTATAGAGTAATCTTACATGTTGAAGATCTTTAAGTACACTCTGTTTTCTAGGAATAGTGAATGATGAAATCATCATAGGTGAAAATGGAATGAAAGCTTAGGGAAGATGAAGTGGTGAAACACTTTAAAACAGCAAGGGCTGCTTTACCTGTAGAAAGTTAATTATCATAATTTTTTTAAGTTGCAGACCCCGGCCTCATTTGCACAGAGTGTTCAAGAACTAACCATTGCTCTCCAGCGTACTGGAGACCCAGCCAATCTGAACCGGCTTCGACCTCATTTAGAGCTCCTGGCTAACATCGATCCTAGTCCAGGTAAACTGGGGGGCATATAATGTCTACATTAATAAAAGGAACTTTCCCTTTTAGGGTGAGTAAAGGGAGGATCCTGTCTGAAACCAGTTTGGCAGAGGCAATAGGTGCTGAGAAGCTAGGTTCTTATTTTGAAACCTAAATTAGATCCAGGTGGAATATCCTCTCAATACAAATGGTGAAAGTTCTTTTATTTAAAACCAGGCTTCACGTATTTATGGAGGTATTAGTAACGATTAGTGCAGAGTCTTGGTTCCTTTCTCAGATACTGTACATTAGTCAAATCCAAGATGACTGCGAATTTAAGATGAACCCCCAATAATTAGAATGCGGTATATAGAAAATATATATAATTTTGTTATAATTTTCTGTGTATACAATCTAATTATTGTAGGAAGGTCATCTTAAATTTGTCCCCCCACCGCTGCTGCAGTGAGCCAGCAGTGGGAGGGAGAGGATGTGCCAGAGGAAGGGGAGGCAGGTGGCTGTCTTGTTGCCGCCGCTGCAACCCC